GAACAGCCATACAAGGGAGTCCCAATATATCAAAAAGAAAAGGCCAATCCGAAAGAATTTAGTTCCAGGAAAGAACATCACAGTTCCATGTGCCATTCACGAAAAACTTGGACTGATTACAAATGTTAGAATATTCAAACCTTTTTCATCCTTAACTCGAATAATGAATAAATCAGACCGTGAAATTAAATATAAATATAGTCCGACTCCCAAAATATATTTCCAGGTCCAACACAATATCTCAATCCTGTGTGTCCAGCTTCAATATTTCCATCACTCCGAACCCGGTGAATACCTTGATAAAATAAAACTACTAAAATAGTGTATTACCTTCAAATAATAATACCGTATTTTTCGCTCCATAAGACGCACCTAGGTTTTAGAGGAGAAAAACAAGAAAAAAAAATATTCTGAACCAATGTACTGCAGACACAGTACAGGGGATGACCAGAGACTGCAGACACAGTACAGGGGATGACCAGAGACTGCGGACATAGTACAGGAGATGACCAGAGACTGCAGACACAGTACAGGAGATGACCAGAGACTGCAGACACAGTACAGGAGATGACCAGAGACTGCGGACATAGTACAGGAGATGACCAGAGACTGCGGACACAGTACAGGAGATGACCAGAGACTGCGGACAGTACAGGAGATGACCAGAGACTGCGGACATAGTACAGGAGATGACCAGAGACTGCGGACAGTACAGGAGATGACCAGAGACTGCGGACATAGTACAGGAGATGACTAGAGACTGCAGACACAGTACAGGAGATGACCAGAGACTGCAGACACAGTACAGGAGATGACCAGAGACTGCGGACACAGTACAGGGGATGACCAGAGACTGCGGACACAGTACAGGAGATGACCAGAGACTGCGGACATAGTACAGGGATGACCAGAGACTGCGGACACAGTACAGGAGATGACCTGAGACTGCGGACACAGTACAGGAGATGACCAGAGACTGCGGACATAGTACAGGGATGACCAGAGACTGCAGACATAGTACAGGGATGACCAGAGACTGCGGACACAGTACAGGAGATGACCTGAGACTGCAGACACAGTACAGGAGATGACCAGAGACTGCAGACACAGTACAGGAGATGACCAGAGACTGCAGACATAGTACAGGAGATGACTAGAGACTGCGGACACAGTACAGGAGATGACCAGAGACTGCGGACACAGTACAGGGGATTACCAGAGACTGCGGACATAGTACAGGAGATGACCAGAGACTGTGGATACAGTACAGGGGATGACCAGAGACTGCAGACACAGTACAGGAGATGACCAGAGACTGCGGACACAGTACAGGGGATGACCGGAGACTGCGGACACAGTACAGGGGATGACCAGAGACTGCGGACACAGTACAGGGGATGACCAGAGACTGCGGACACAGTACAGGAGATGACCAGAGACTGCAGACACAGTACAGCAGATGACCAGAGACTGCGAACACAGTACAGGAGATTACCAGAGACTGCGGACACAGTACAGGAGATGACCAGAGACTGCGGACATAGTACAGGAGATGACCAGAGACTGGGGACAGAGTACAGGAGATGACCAGAGACTGCGGACATAGTACAGGAGATGACCAGAGACTGGGGACAGAGTACAGGAGATGACCAGAGACTGCGGACATAGTACAGGAGATGACCCAGAGACTGCGGACACAGTACAGGAGATGACCAGAGACTGCGGACATAGTACAGGAGATGACCAGAGACTGCGGACACAGTACAGGAGATGACCAGAGACTGCAGACATAGTACAGGAGATGATCAGAGACTGCGGACACAGTACAGGAGATGATCAGAGACTGCGGACACAGTACAGGAGATGACCAGAGACTGCGGACACAGTACAGGAGATGACCAGAGACTGCAGACACAGTACAGGAGATGACCAGAGACTGCGGATACAGTACAGGAGATGACCAGAGACTGCGGACACAGTACAGGAGATGACCAGAGACTATGGACAGTACAGATGACCAGAGACTGCAGACACAGTACAGGGCAGGGGTGGACTGACAACTCATGGGGCCCCCGGGCAATAGGGGTTCATGGGGCCCCTGTGTCCTTGCCCCAAACTCAAAAAAGCATATGAAAAAGGTACCAGGGGCATCTCATGGGGCCCCTTACTGACCCCGGGCCCTCGGACAATTCTCGAGTTTCCAAATGGTTAGTCCGCCCCTGTATAGCATCTTACATTAGGGACAATCAGTAATAGATTCCCATGACACAGCCACAGCAGCTTCCTAGGATGTAAAACATGTTTTTCCAGTAATCAAAATGGCCGCGCCGCCACTTCTGTTTTTTGCGCAATTACGTCAGACGTCACTTCAAGGGTGAATGTGTGACTTTTTTCTTGGCATTAGAAGTTGGGTATTCAATATGTGAGTTTTTTTTTTTAGTTTTGTAAGTTTCCGAGTGATTTATTTTCTATGATTACAGATGTTGATAGTAAATAATGAACAAGGAAGGTGAACATTTTTTCGTTCTTGGAGACAGATGTTTCCACGAATAACTGATGCCAAGGTTAAGGGGGTGCATTTTTGTTGGTCCACAACTGAGACACCTCAAGTACAAGCTGTTGGAAGATCTGTTCATCAGAGAACGTTGCCTGGAAAGCGTTCCTGGATCTTGTCGAGAATTTTCTTGGCAACTACAGAGCACCAAACTACAGTCAGCTGGTTGGCAAACTTCTCACAGCGTACAGTAGGGCAACGCGTCACTGAAAATTCATTTTTTTGCGTTCACATTTAGACTTTTTTCCTGGTAATCTAGGTGTCATCGGTGATGAACATGATGGAAGGTTTCACAAGACATTACCACAATGGAAAAATGTTATCACAGCAGCAGGAATCCATCAATGCCGCCTGACTATCCTTGGACGCCACAGGGGAGATGCACCAGACACTGAGTACATGCGAGAAGCAGCAGCGGAACGCTTTTAGCCCTGAACTCATCCAACGTGTCAGAAACATTATGTGATTAATTACATTATAGCTATTAATGGTCATTTCAGATTTATCAAGTTATAGCGTTTACAAATGGCGGGAAAGATACTGGGATTTTTAGTTTTTTTTTATACTAATAATGGCGGCGATCAGGGACTTATGGCAGCGACCAGCGACTTATGGCGGGGACTGTGGGACTGCGGCGGACATTCTGACATTGGGGGGTACTGACTTGGGGTCACTGACATCCCCAAAAACACTAATACAGTGATCAGTGCAAAAAAAAAACAAAACACTGACACTGTACTAATGGCACTGGGGAGGAAGGGGTTAACTTTATTTTACAGGGAAGGGTTATCTGAGTGAGGGGAGAGTTTTACTAGGGGGCGTGGGGGGGCGTGTGCTGCACGGGACACCGCTGATCGGGAGAGAGAAACTCTTCTTTCTCGATCAGCTCGTCCTCGAGCTGTCATATAAGTGACAGACAGCACAGCTACTGCAGCTGTGCTGTCTGTCACTGTTTGCCGCCGATCTCCGGGAAACTGTGACCCAGCGACTGACATCCGCGGCGGTGATCGGCGGGACAGATAGGGCGGCAGAGCGCCTCGCGCGCGCCCCCTATCTGTTTACAAAACACACATTTTAAAACGTGGTTTTGCCTGCCCGTGCCGCCCTGCCGCCGTATTTCTACAGTGGCAGGGCGGCAAGTGGTTAAACCTTTACTAAACCCCAGACTCTGCATTCACTGTATCTGCTCTCTCCCCGGACCCTGCATTCACTATATCCACTCTCCCTGGACCCCGCATTCACTATCCACTCTCTCCGTATCCTGCATTCACTATATCCGCTCTCCCAAGACCCCACATTCACTATATCCAGTCTCCCCAGACCCCATATTCACTATATCCGTCTCCCCGGACTCTGCATTCACTATATCCGCTCTCCCCGGACCCTACATTCACTATATCTGGTCTCCCCGGACTCTCTGCATTCACTATATCTGTTCTCCCCAGACCCTGCATTCACTATATCCGCTCTCCCCGGACCCTGCATTCACTATATCTGGTCTCCCTGGACCCTGCATTCACTATATCCGGTCTCCCTGGACCCTGCATTCACTATATCCGCTCTCCCCGGACCCTGCATTCACTATATCCAGTCTCCCCAGACCCTGCATTCACTATATCTGTTCTCCCAGACCCGCATTCACTATATCCGCTCTCCCCCGGACCCTGCATTCACTATATCCGCTCTCCCCGGACCCTGCATTCACTATATCCGGTCTCCCTGGACCCTACATTCACTATCTCCGCTCTCCCGGACCCGCATTCACTATATCCGGTCTCCCCAGACCCCGCATTGACTATATCCGTTCTCTCCGGACCCTGCATTCACTATATCCACTCTCCCTGGACCCCACATTCACTATATCCACTCTCCCTGGACCCCACATTCACTATATCCAGTCTCCCCGGACCCTGCATTCACTATATCCGCTCTCCCCGGACCCCGCATTCACTATATCCGCTCTCACCCGGACCCCGCATTCACTATATCCGGTCTCCCCAGACCCCGCATTGACTATATCCGCTCTCCCCGGACCCCACATTCACTATATCCGCTCTCCCGGACCCCACATTCACTATATCCGCTCTCCCCGGACCCTGCATTCACTATATCCGGTCTCCCCGGACCCTACATTCACTATATCCGGTCCTCCCCGGACTCTGCATTCACTATATCCGCTCTCCCCGGACCCTGCATTCACTATATCCAGTCTCCCCAGACCCTGCATTCACTATATCTGTTCTCCCCAGACCCTGCATTCACTATATCCGCTCTCCCCGGACCCTGCATTCACTATATCTGGTCTCCCCGGACCCTACATTCACTATATCCGGTCTCCCCGGACCCTGCATTCACTATATCCGCTCTCCCCGGACCCTGCATTCACTATATCCAGTCTCCCCAGACCCTGCATTCACTATATCTGTTCTCCCCAGACCCCGCATTCACTATATCCGCTCTCCCCGGACCCTGCATTCACTATATCCGCTCTCCCCGGACCCCGCATTCACTATATCCACTCTCCCTGGACCCTGCATTCACTATATCCGGTCTCCCTGGACCCTGCATTCACTATATCCGCTCTCCCCGGACCCTGCATTCACTATATCCGCTCTCCCCGGACCCTGCATTCACTATATCCGGTCTCCCTGGACCCTGCATTCACTATATCCGCTCTCTCCGGACCCTGCATTCACAATATCTGTTCTCCACAGACACCGCATTCACTATATCCACACTTTCAGAGCCAAAAGCTTTTCTCACACCATGTGTGGTACCAACTTTAAATGTGATTGGCCAAAGTAGGAGAGTTCATCCCATATCTTTGCCTCTATGAATTAAAAGAGATGTATGTATTTTTTTCCCCCAGTAATACTTACCTAGGTGGATGCAGCATCGGTCCCCATGCCGGCTCTAAGTGTGAGAACCAAGTTCTCACAGACTGTCAGTCACCGCTCTGTGCTCAGCACCCCCCCCCACCCCCCTGGCACTCACTGGAGCACTGGGTTGTTGAGGGCTGGCTCAGGCTATGAGCATTTTGCTCAGATGAAAGAGGGTCACAGGAGTGGAGAACGAACTGCACTCCTGTAATCCACAGGAGAAGAACAGCCAAAAAAGCTTTGTAGCGTGAAATAAAAAAATTCAAATGTTCAAAGCAAATGTAGCCGCCCTTTTGTAAACAGAGGTGACTAGTAAGTTATGCATGCTGGGTAGTAGTCTGACCCAGACCAATTTGTAGTCTGTTCAGTGTGCAATAGTCATGGAGGCAGTGGCAAGCCTGGGTTTATGAGTATCTGTGTCATTCTGACACCTACTAGGAGGTTCATGGCCAATGGTGCATGCCGAGGAGGATATAAATGTTTGGGCAGTGGCCGAATGAGCTATCTTATCCCCAAGCTGGGGAGGTGTGTGTAATGGTTTGGACAGAGTAGACCACAGCTTGGTTGGGGCCTAAGTCCGAATGCTTAAAACCCAACCCAGGGCAAAAAAATAGTGGAACTCTGCCTGCACTTCAAGGGTTAATGGCTCATTGTTGCCTAGGGGACAGGAAAGAGGAGATATACCTGCCTCGCACAAGACGGATCCCTGTGGTTCATTTCCCCCTCCTCCATGGTCTAGATGTCCTGAGTGGAGGACTGTCCCTGAATCAAGCCCAGAGACCTTCTTTGGCATGAGGATATTAGGAACAGTCCACAGTTGGATCATGGGGGAGCGCAATTTACCAGAGGAGAATCAGGTAAGTTTAAGGCTGGCTCCTCTCCCCCTGGACAAAACCAGCATTTGCCCCCTACATTGCAGGCACAGTCCTACTGGACAGGAAAACATTTTGTCTTTAAGCTGCCCTGCCTGATCAAGAAGAGTACAAGCTTGAAGAGTGCTCTTCAAGTGCTTATTGTTGCCTACAGGACGAAAAAGGAGATTATACCTGCCCCACACAAGACTGATCCCTGTGGCTCCTTTTCCCCATCCTCCATGGTCTAGTGGTCTTGAGTGGTGGACTGTTCCTGATGTCATCAAGCCCATAGACCTGCTCTGGCATGAGGATGTCAGGAACAGTCCACAGTTGGATCAGGGGGGAGCGCCATTTCCCGGAGGAGGATCAGGTAAATATAAGGCTGGCTCCTCTCCCCTGGACAAAACCAGCAGTTAACCCTTACATTGCAGGCACAGTCCCACTGGAGAGGAAAAAAAAACACTGACACTGTACTAATGGCACTGGGGAGGAAGGGGTTAACTTTATTTTACAGGGAAGGGTTATAGGAGTGAGGGGGAGTGTTTTACTAGGGGGCGGGGGGGGTGTGTGTGCTGCACGGACACAAACGCTGATCGGGAGAGAGAAACTCTTCTTTCTCGATCAGCTCGTCCTCGAGCTGTCATATAAGTGACAGACAGCACAGCTACTGCAGCTGTGCTCTCTGTCACTGTTTGCCGCCGATCGCCGGGAAACAGACGGTAAGGACCGGCTGTGACCCGGCGACTGACATCCGCGGCGGTGATCGGCGGGACAGATAGGGCGGCAGCGCGCCTCGTGCGTGCCCCCTGCCTGTTTTACAAAACACACGTTTTAAAATGTGGTTTTGCCTGTCCGTGCCGCCCTGCCGCCGTATTTCTACAGTGGCAGGGCGGCAAGTGGTTAAACTTTTACTAAACCCCAGACCCTGCATTCACTGTATCTGCTCTCCCCGGACCCTGCATTCACTGTATCTGCTCTCCCCGGACCCTGCATTCACTATATCCGTTCTCCCTGGATCCTACATTCACTATAATCCACTCTCCCTGGACCCTGCATTCACTATACCCGGTCTTCCCAGACCCTGCATTCACTGTATCTGCTCTCCCCGGATCTGGAACCCATCTGCTGGAGGAATCTGCAACCCCAACCCTCTCTCCCTGTAAGCTGAAGCAATAAAACTTGGGAAAGGCTATATAGTGACTGGCGCCCTTCATTGTCCTTACTTTCTTCAGTGCGGCGATGAGGCCACCTTTGTTTTATGACAGCCCTCACCTACGCTTGGAGGACATCTTCTTTTCCCAGGAAGGGTAGTTATTGGGTTTCCAGCATGCTACCACCTCCAAGATAAAACAATACTCCCCAAACGGCAAAGTTTAATTCTGTTTTTTCTCTCTTTTTATTTTACAGGAAATAGCCAACATGTCTGTATGTTATTTTCCTTCTTGTCTTCTGTCACTTTTACTTTTGGACATATTTCTATGCACTGACCTCCTAGGGATATTAAATATCAAAAAATTAGATTGGCCTTCTGCGAACTCCTAAATAGACTGCTGAGTTGTATTACCTGATGTTAGATTGTGAGATTGCATCATGTGGCTATGTCCTCATGTTCTATGTCATTTTGGCAAGTAGCTGGTTTACAAGGAGACGGCCAACATGACAGAATGCTGAAAAGTACCAGCAGAGACTTTTTTTAGCAGAGAATAGGTGTAGGTACTCGCCTCTTATCTCTGCACCATACCCACCTCCGAGCATCGTCCCTTGGTTCTGCCCCCCCCAGCCCTCCTTCCCTTTTAGGCCCCATGTACAAGAGACACTTCTGAATGATAGAAACTGACTGCTGGAAAACGTAGGTTAAAAAACATCTGTTTGCATAATGCATTTATGTACGTTTGCGTTTAGAAGCGTTTTTTTTTTAAAGATAAGCCCAGGAGAACCTCCCAAATGCCCAGAATGCACTGAAAAATGGTAAATTACTAACAGTTTCAGACTGTTTCAGAGAAATACAGAGAGTAGAAGCAGAGACAGCAGTATGTGTTGAGATTAGTTTAGGTGTGAGTTGCTCATTAACATTTCTTTTGTTTCCAAGGGTGGGAAAGGTGTCTGGTGGAGGGAGTCATTAAGGTCACCTGGCAGGGGGTCTTCATGAGGAATTTGAGGTGTGAATGGTCATTAACAGATCTTTTGTTTCCAAGGGTGGAAGAGGTCTGAGGTGTGAATTGGTCATTAACAGATCTTTTGTTTCCAAGGGTGGGAGAGGTCTGAGTTGTGAATGGTCATTAAACATATCTTTTGTTTCCAAGGGTGGGGGAGAGGTCTGATGTGTGAATGGTCATTACCATATCTTTTGTTTCCAAGGGTGGGAGAGGTCTGAGGTGTGAATGGTCATTAACATATCTTTTGTTTCCTAGGGTGGAAGAGGTCTGAGGTGTGAATGTTTCCAAGGGTGGGAGAGGTCTGAGGTGTGAATGTTTCCAAGGGTGGGAGAGGTCTGAGGTGTGAATGTTTCCAAGGGTGGGAGAGGTCTGAGGTATGAATGTTTCCAAGGGTGGGAGAGGTCTGAGGTGTGAATGTTTCCAACGGTGGGAGAGGTCTGAGGTGTGAATGTTTCCAAGGGTGGGAGAGGTCTGAGGTCTCAGGTGTGAATGTTTCCAAGGGTGGGAGAGGTCTGAGGTCTGAATGTTTCCAAGGGTGGGAGAGGTCTGAGGTGTGAATGCTTCCAAGGGTGGGAGAGGTCTGAGGTGTGAATTGGTCATTACAATGTGTGCCAAGCTTGGTAGGAACATCCTGTGTTCAGTGTTTTGTCCATTTGAGTACCTTGAAAACGCTTTGCATGCATTTTTCATGATGAAAAAAGGCTCTGGACAGCATCGGGAACTGGAAGAGTTAACAAAAAATTTCAGACGAAAACGCTTATAAACGCGATTTTCCGCATTTAGAATTTGAAACGCTGATAAAATCGACTGCTGGACGCAAGTTTTCTGCATTCAAAAAAAACAACTGTAAACACAACTGCCTGTAAATGGCTGTAAACGATGATGTGTACATGGACACATAGGAAAGCATTAGGGAGAGTTCAGGGGCTGCTGAAAAAAATGCAGAACAGATCCTAAACGTGAGTTTATCAGCTGCAGTGTACATGAGAACACAGAATCAAGTATCACTTTGTGGTCCTAAGTAATGTGTAGGGAATTTGTTAATGATACCAAGAAAAAATGTAAAATAGATCCCATGCAACCTGCACCACAGACCCCATCAGCAACAATAGACCCCCCAAACAAAATACCCTCCAACAACAATAGACTGCAGATGGCAGCAGTTTGAGTTAAATGTCTGGCATGGAGGTACGGGTGCTGAAAGAAATGACCATGCAAGAATTCTATTTTGCAGGATAGCTTGGGGAATCTAGGAAGCATGTGGGAATCGCACAATGTGCACCAGACTGTATGCAAGATCTGCCTGTATGTCTCCAAATTTGGGTGAGATTCCCTCTAGTGTTGACTGGTGGTATTGAAGGCTGTGGTCATTTTAGTGTCATTGTGTGCATGCTGTTTTCAGGTGCTGCTTCCGGATTGAAGAACGTTGGGTTTTCATGATATTCTACCCCCATGCTGGTCAATTACTGAGCAGGGGCGGACTGACCATTTGGAAACTCGGGCACTGCCCGAGGGGCATGGGGTCAGTAGGGGGCCCCATGAGATGCCCCTGGTACCTTTTTCATAGGATTTTTTTGAGTTTGGGCAAGGACACAGGGGCCCCATGATCCCCTATTGCCCGGGGACCCCTTGAGTTGTCAGTCCGCCCCTGTTACTGAGGATATATGGTGGATACATTTGGCATTGTCCATTCTCCCTCCTCTCTTTTCCCTCTCTACCCCAGCCCCTGGCAATGGATTGTTATGGGTACATGAAAGAGGCTCTGTGACTTTGCCCAATCAAGACAAGAGCCCCATCTGGCTCCCTTTGTTAAATCACAGGAATCACAAATGAAAGTAGATGTGAACATGCAATGTTGAAGACTTTCTCATACAGTTATGACTACAGTATGTCAGCACCATAACCACTTTTCCTTAGTTTCAGAAATAATTTTTCTTGTCTGTTTGTACAAGTTTAAAACGTTCTGTCATGTGACCATGCATCATGTGACTTCCTGAGAGTAGGGGGTGGGGTTACAGGACACGGTTCAGACACGCCATGTGCCTGTTCCATAGCCTTTTTCGGCCAGGATCAAGATGCAGGCTGTGATTGGGAGAAGGTGTATGCCAGAGGCAGTCTGTGGGAGGCAATACAATACAGTGGCACCTCTCAATGGCCAGCTGAAGGATGAAACTGACCACACTAACATAGCTCAACTTCTGTAGTCAGTTTAGAACAAGGAAGAAAGTACATGAAAATGACAGAGACTGATGCATGTGTGGGGTCGCTTCCAAGCTGGGCTGTGTGCATCCATAGACACACACAGCGCGGTTCGGCCATGCCCCCAATCTCTGCTTACAAGAAGAGATTGACAGGAGCAGAAAATATTTGCTCCTGTTGCTGCCTCTCTGGTTTGTGAGAGAGGGAGAGAGAAGAGATCTGCTGCAGGAGGGCACAATGCTTGATCAAGTGAGGCCTTAGGAGGTAAGTTTTTAGAGAGTGAGGGGCAATAGCATTACTGGAACATTATTTTACCTTAATGTAGGCAGCAGAAGCATAACTAGAACCATCCGGGCCCTTCCCACTGATCCCAGTGCCTTTAATTCCCATTGCAGGGCCCCTATTATGGTCCTTCAGTGGGACCCTTTTTACATGTTCTGCGGCAGGCCCCCTTCCTGCTGTCTTGGGGTGCCCTTATGGTGGCCCGGGCGCAAATGTGACTTTGTGACCCTGATGGTTCCACACCTTTTTTAACTATTTATTTGTATTTTAAATTATTTTTTTACCATTTTATTATTTAATTTATTTTATTTTTTTAATTGTATTTATTTATTTATTTAAAAAAAAAAATTAACAATTTTTATAGAAGCTTTGTTGGGGGGTTTGGTGAGATATCAGGGGTCTAAACAAACCTCTGATGTTCCACCTTTGAGACAGAGAAAGGTGATTGAGAACATAGCTCTCAATCTCCATTTCTGCAGCCTCAGCTGATCAGAATGAATGGACAGGAATAGCTCTGTACAGAGCAGCTTCCCCTTCATTCACAAACTGAAGCATAGTAAACACAGTTTACTATGCCTCAGTTATGAACGAACAGAGTCAATGATCACTGACTCTGTCCATTCAGAAAAGGAAGGTGCCAGTAAATAACATAGTTACTGGCCCCTCTCCACTCTCTATCCTGATAATCCTCATAAGAAGCTGGCAGGAGAGGGAAGCAGGAGAGGGAAGCCAATAGTGTTGTGGGGGGTGGGGGGAGGGGCCAGGGGATCACACAGGGGCCCGGGGGCAGCAAGACCAGCTTCAGGATTTCAGTAGCTGCAGGAGAAAAATGAAGGGTATTGGTTCCTCTATATGCCTCCCCCGTTGTCCCACCTTTCCAGGTGTACAGAGGAGCTGCACAGGCCTCCTGGAGCATAGGGCCAGGTTACAATTGCAACCCCTGCCACCCCCGCAGCTATGCCCCTGATGCAGGGAAATTTTTTAAGGTAAAAAATGTTTTCCTTTTAGAACCACTTTAATTGCTCTGTTAGAGGTCAAGAATATCTAGGGTCAATCTGTAAAATCCAGCATGTTTTCAGCATGCAAGCCTCACACTGAACCGTGGCACCGATCTCTCTCAGCAATGCCTCTCCTGTCTTGATTTTGTTTCATTGCAAAAAGAAGGTAAAATTGTAAATTTAATTGGTTATTTTTAGTAATCTTAGAAAAAAGCACCTTCTATATTTTAATTAGATCAGAGCTATTTTGTACTTCAAACACACGATGTAGCAGACAGAATATCAGATATAAATGTGGGGAAATTAAAGGAAAGCGGTCTCTTTTTATGATAAAAAAACAGTTAAGAAAAAAAACGTGATCTGATTAATAGTAATAAAAAAAAACCTTCTGCTTGTGTCTAGTGTGTAATTATACATGAACATGGGGAGCAGCCACATCTGATCATTACATATGCAGCATCCAATTCCTTCTTAGCAGTGCTGCGCAGTGATTGTACATTAAAGTGATGCTAAACATGTTTCATTTCCATTCTCACTTCTCTT